GTGGTACTGTTCATAGTATACACACGTTACGGATAATTTAGTTATAAATTAAGCACTACTTCTCTTAATTTTAAAATTCATAAATTTTTACGCACTTGGCCCTCGTGTTTCAACAGTAGTTTAGGCCTATTTGGATTTCCACTGTTTTGCCCCTAGCATCACCGATGAGTCCTAGAGAACTGAATGCAACAGCTGTATGATGCAGTGTCATTCATTTTCAGCAAACTGTATCTATTACCGATTTTAATGGCAATTCATTAACGCCATAACTTCATCTGACATCTTCATGTAAAAAAGTTGACATGACTGGAAATGATCGTCACAATCATTACCATTTACAGATACATTTACATGACTGTTTCTATGCTTAATAACAAATTCACGTTGCAATAAACTTCAAAATTACCGTGACTTCCCACGCAGGGACTATGTTACGGGCCCGATCCATTCACAGATAAAGGCTGGTGTATGTTTTAATAGTGCGGCCTCCATAAAACTACTCCCATGTGATCAATTAGTAAGTAGTGTCAACGCAGGACAAATTTCCCATAGGCGTCCGGGTTAGCATTGTTTGTTTACATGCTTTCACTAATGCTTTGTAATAACGGTGAACCTTAAGAGGCCCGGATTTCAACTGGAGTAATTTTATGATATAACTTGGTGACTTCTCTTAAACTATGAAATGATATCCATGACATTGAAACTTCTCTGTAAACACTATTATTTATAATTATTGCCAACAAAATCTCGACCTTCGTGCTAAACGAGGAAACATTCCGACCATATTTTGTTTCAATGCGTAGGGTTACGTTTCAGAAAAAAACACCTAATATTGTACTTTAGGATTAAATATTCTTTTCTAAATTAATTTTAGGAGCTTGTGACGGGACATAATTATTTTCACGGTTTTAAAGCACGCGTAAAAACATTGAAGTACTTTGCCTTTTGTACGAATATTGATGATGGCACCTTTTATGTCAGTAAGTTTTTGTATCAGGTCATCGCATACAAACGTCGTTGCCACCAAAATGGCTCGACGGTAAACAGACAGACTTCTACAATGATGACCTGTTAGCATTCTTTAATAAAGAAACCGGTCAAAGGCGGATCTCCAAACTGGTGAGGCGAGGGATATGGAAAACAACATGGAATTATACAGAGATCTATGCCCAAACGTAAATGATGACGCTGCCGAAGCTTGATGTTCAAAGGCCACAAACCTCCAGGATAATGAAGAGAAGAATACAGAACAAGACACAAAAACCTATGTAGATCTTGCATATTTAAATGAGGATGCAGCCGAACCCAGATCTTCATAGTCAACAAATCTGCAAACCAATGTAAAAGAGAGAACAGAAAAAGTCATGAGCGTCAATGAAGATCTTTTCGCAAAATTAAATGAGGATGCCACTGCACCTGGATTTTCAAAGCTGGCGTATATCAAAATCAAGGAAGAGGAAGACACGGGAAATGGCATGGACATCCATGGAGATGTATTTGCAAACTTAAAGGTAGATGCCATCGAACCTGGATCTTCAAAGACGGCAAACATTCAAACTAGTGCGGGAAGGACACAGAAAAAGACATTGAATTTCACAGAAATGTCTTCACCTATTTAAGTGTGGACACTTCCAGTTACGGTTATCAAATGAGGTCAGTGGTGATAATAGTAATACATTATTACAAACCGATATGGTTCCTGAGTATGATTCTGTATTTACAAGTGACAACATGTTTACTTACACTCCATTCTGGTGTTTGGATCTACGAGTGATAATTTTGTTATTCTCTAACATAACATTAGTGTCGTCCATTCGTCAAAATGTGTCCGAGAAACGTCAAGCCGTCGTTTACCGCGGTGTACTGGTTTACTTATATGTTATGACCTGCGTCGAAGCGCGAATGTATATTGTCAGAACGTCCGATGTTACTACAATGATTACCTATGGACCTCACACAGGAACGCTCCTATTAACACTCTGCTCCCAGGAAGCCTGGCGTCAGTTCCTTCCTTTTGAGCTCGAGTCAGTACTTCTGTATGGGCTGTCCATTGCTATCTTGTTGTTGACTATCATCAAGCATACAGGTATGTAATTGCCCATTTTAGAAACTAAATGTCAATTATGTGAAATATATTTCGATATAAAATAACAAAAGCAATGTATGCTACAGATACTTTAACTGTGTGTAAATTAATGTATGTGTTGCTGATTTATGTCAATTTGTTTGTATCTGACTTTATGGTGGAGCCTGGCTAATTCCCTGACTTTATGGTGGAGCCTAGCTAATTCCCTGACTTTATGGTGGAGCCTGGCTAATTCCCAGACTTTATGGTGGAGCCTGGCTAATTCCCAGACTTTATGGTGGAGCCTAGCTAATTCCCTGACTTTATGGTGGAGCCTAGCTAATTCCCTGACTTTATGGTGGAGCCTAGCTAATTCCCAGACTTTATGGTGGAGCCTAGCTAATTCCCTGACTTTATGGTGGAGTCTGGATAACTCCGACTTTATGGTGGAGCCTGGATAACTCCATGAAATGCCTCGATCACCTATGAAATCTATTTTGAGGTGACAAAGTTTGATACACATGGATACCGGTTACATCATTATAGTTAAAACTTAATAAATTATCCCTGTGTGGTGTTCTTTAAGATATCAAAATCCCGGTGGTTGTTGTATCGGATTTAAGTTCTTTTTTGTCCATGTGTGTGACTTTTGAAGCAAATTAATCTGTTTTGCCATACTAACAAGAACGGTGTTGTACATGCAGGTTTAGTAAAACCTAGTTTTATCAAATTCCTGATATGATCAAACACAGTCATCACATATTTATTTTTTTGACTCGAAACAGAAAATATACGGTACCAAATGAACTTATAAATTATTGATAATAAATCAAATGTGCCGTTAAATGAATAAGATAGGTGACAAAGATAAAATATACATTACGGATACTTTGCAATGATATCAAAGAGTCATAGCCTGGACGTTATTTACAATATTGGCCCAAACTTGTTTATCACTTGAAATCTAATTTACTTAAGGTTAAATAGATCATTTATGTTATTTGAATATCGTACAAGATTTTGGTTTATCTCGTTTATAAGAAAACATAATAATAATAATAATAATTCGAGGTTCTTGTATAACGCTTTGTCACAACCTAGTTCGTAGGTCGTCTCAAAGCGGTTCACAAATTAATATCCGTGGTTATAGGGACCACGGAACCAAATCAAAAAAAGATTGTGGGTTTTCCCCTTTTGGGCAGAAGATTTAATAGGAAGGTGAATGCCTCGGGGCCTGCTGGTTGGATATTTAGGTGGCAGAGGTTTCAAAAGTTTTATGTGTGTGTTGAGCAATATATATAGATGTAATATGTATCAAGTCTGCTTTTGTCTGTTAATTAAGTGTGTAATTTGTTGTAAATTTCGGTCGATTTTTGGTGCCGAATACAATACAAAATGGCAGCCCCCATTTTTTTTTTTACAGTTGCGTGAGATGCTATTCTTCAAAATGAGGGCAGGTAAACCAGTGTGGATAACCCCATTTAACCAGGACAGGGGTAAACATTAACATTATCGTCTTTGGAAAATCATTCGGTTCTGCGGTGCCTATAGGGCCTTTGCAACCAGCCAATACCGTTCTCAATTCCATGGGGAGCATACAGCCGGAGCTGCCATTTCGGCGCTAACAGCCAGCATTCAACACTTCTAGCACTGCTTAACCACCTACACATTTACAGCTGAGTAGACTGGAACAAGCGCAATAAATTATCTCGCTCAAAGATACAACACAGCGCCATGCCGTGATTCGAACACGCAACCCTTCGGTCACGAGCCCGGCGTCCTACCACTAGACTACCGTGCCTCCATAACAGTTAGTGGATATCACCGAATAGAACTTATCTGATAAAAAAGCGGTATATAAGAACCTTGAATTATTATTATTATCATTTATACCTTTTTATTAATTCTATCGTAATATTCTCCACTTATATCGAGATGGTTAATGTAGTTTTATAATACTTTAATAGTTGCTGATAGTTTTTATGTCTATGTTTAACTTTTTGTTAATTGGAGACTCTGGACAAGACTCAAAATCAGGATGTTACTTTGTATAACTGCTATGTCAATTTTTTTTTATATGTAATAAGACTTTGAGGAATATTTTAATATTTAGATTATTAAAATATCCTGTTATGAAACATACTGCATTGTTTTTGACAAAAACTGTTTTTTTACGTCTCGTAATAAATCGACGCACATTTTCCGTTTTTGTTTTGCAACCAAGAAACTATAGTCTGTTCCATTTTTTGTTCTACCGAAATAGCCAAACAATGACCCACTGGTATAAATAATGGTAAATACTAAGATAAGATTAATTGCCTTAAAAGAACATAAAATAACAAAATATATATTTAAACATATTTAGGACATGATGGAGGATTTGGAGACAAAGGATTGTACTCTATATCAATAACATGTTATATCTTCAGTAAGATTTATTAGTTTGGAGATATGTGATATCAAAGTTTTACTTTCTACACAAACAATGTAGATCGATATCAACAACATGTAAACATAGCAAAGCACTACGTCGAAAATTCACTGATGAGAAATCCTTTCTTAGTTCACTCTTGCAGAAAAACATGTTTTTATTGTAAAAAATACCTTGCTGTTTCTTGTGTATCTAAAACAAAACTGGCTGAATAGCCAAAATACAACTTTGTTCAAGCGTTTCAATCTTAACCATGTGACTGAAGACAATAAAATAATAGCAAAACCCAACACTGTACAATAAAACAGTTTATTCATTATTAACGCATCTGAAGTCCGAGTATTGATGATTCAATTATGATATGATACTATGTTGTACATAAAGTAATAATTTGTAATTCTATTGCTCGTAGTGACAAGGTCGCATACCCCTCCTGTAATCCATACCCTTTACACCCACTACTTTCTGTATTACACATGGCTATTTAAAGGCATATGGGAATTCCAATAATATTGCATGCGCCCAATTTAGTTCTTCCGATCAAGCCAGCAGGAACAGCGAGCCTACTTAGGTCCAAAATACAGGTAAGTGACCGATACCTATAGAAACGGTTAGGACATATGTAGAGCGCGTGTTATGGGAATTGTTAATCTTCTGTGTGGGTCGCACAGGTAACTTAATGCTTCAGGTATGTATACTAGTCTATCCAGTAGCATTTACCTAGATCTCGCATACAGGTAACACATTGTTATACGTATATTATAAGAACAAATGTACGATTATTTTCGAACAAAACAGGAAGAAAGCGTTCATATGACCTTTAGGGAGTTACATTAGCTATATTTCGGGTGGTTAAACGGTATACATATGTGTATTCCATTAAGCGTAAAGGAAGTTATCGATTACCATAGGGTCGTTAACTCGGTGTGCCAGTGCAGCTATTGTAAACGTAAACATTACAATAGTCAATAGCTGTATATAAATAAAATATACACGTCGTACGACGACACATGTCATAAAACCGTACTTGTTTACCCTGATAAATAGTAGCATACACCCTTCTTTCATTCTCCGTTCTTAGTAGCCCTTGTTAACTTGTATACCGGTTTGTATCGTCAACTGTTAAAATGCGTCCTAGTATATATGCAGTGATCATTGTCGAAATTCGCGCTTGACTAGTCACTTGCATCTAGTACACATGTGTGTGGTTCAAACGTGTGGTTCAAACACGTGTATAGTGACAGTTAGACGCCATAAGATATAAGACGTCTGTCCTCTGTTGTGATAAAAAAATATGAGAAGGTCCGGCAATTTTTTAATCTATCATTCTATTAACGCGATCATTTGTTATGTCATTTACAGCATTTGAAATAAACCGCCACTTCACTCCGCGTCAGTTTACAATCACAGATAGCCATGACGTGTTTCCACTCAACTCATATTTCGGTTACAATATCAGAAAGACATGACGGTGTTCCCACCCAACTCAGCATTAGGTAACAAGCACAGGTAGACATGACGGTGTTTACACTCCACTCAGCTTCCGGTTACAATCACAGGTAGACATGACGGTGTTTACACTCCACTCGGCTTCCGGTAAAAATCAAGTTTCTCATATTTGTCGTAATTAAGTACGTTCAGGCCACTCATCGTTCAGTTAGAAACCAGTTACAGTAAAGTATTGACTTAAGTTAAATTTACCTTAAGACCTATCTATTTACAGTGACTTAACTGAGTTACACCGATCAATTGCAGTTCGATTTACTGGCGGTAGCATAAGGTTATTATAAATAGTGTCCCTTTGCCTGCTGTAAATGTTACGATTATACAAACTGACACAGTCAGGTTATTCCAATCATAATTAATTTTAGCTTAAATCACCAGGGAAAGCGATTGTTATGTACCAAATGATTATGATGAAATGAAAACATAATCTGTTATCGGATTATTCGGAATGAGATTTATCAGTTTGGTATAAATAATAAATGCTAAGCTTGTTTTGAATACAAACAGTTACTGAAAACTTTTGCAAGCTTTCGAAAACGTTTGTATCCTTTGTCAAGAAAAGAGCGCAAATGACCGGTGTTTCGACTTTAAACTGCTGAATACTCACTTAACCACAATGTGCCGAAACAGTTAATTGAGCTGTGAGAAAATATCGAGATGTTTCGCCAAAAACAATCTAATGTTACAGTCAGTCAGAGGGACGGGTAATGTGTTTACTAATTCCGCCCCTTAGATGATCATAAATATGACGCATCCCGCCTCGTCTCTGTTTATCGATTCCCCTTCCATCCTAACCGAGAAGGATTATTTGATTGTCTCACTTTCCAGTTTCTTTCCTTTCAAACACCTCAGAGTTGTTTCAGTCTATGCTGTGGTTGTGTATACGTTTTCAATTTATGTTTGTGTTAAAAACAAACTTAATATCTATTGAGTTAGTTGGTTAATAATTAGCAATTACTTGAAATAGAATTAAGAATTAAGCGCTATATAATTGTTAATAACATCACATATTCTCGATTATTATTGCTGTTTCGTTTCAGATAAAAAATGCGTCACCATTATATGATGAGTATACTACTTGTGTTTGGTGTGATCACCACTACTTATGGAGGCTTTCAGACAGACATTGATTATTACCAGGTGCTCCACGTTAGACGTACGGCCAAGGTGTCCACGATCAGGACAGCATACCGAAAATTGGCTTTGAGACTACATCCGGATACCAGTGGGGTAATTTGTATAGATCTAATTGAAACCCATTATTAATATTACACCCGTGTGGCTGAAAACTTCAGTTCGTTTAACAGTACACAAGTATGAGTGAATACGTTGAAGAATTCTGCAACACAAGTGAAAATAAGAAAGAAATTCAGCGGAAAACATTCTCTAAATATTTTCGTATTTTTCCCACCGTAGAATGTCTATGTGGTTTAATCTCAATCATTGTCCCCTTATTATCTGAGGACAAGTACTATTTACTTGACACGTTTTAACTTTAATAATGCAATATTTAGATGATCAAGCTAACGATGTTAAATTGCTTCATAAGGCCTCGCTACTTTATATGTTACTTATGTCACACCAAGCGTCAACACAACGTGTGACATCAGTGAAAAATCAACTTATTTTGTTTTCCAAAGTCCTGCTTAAAGTCGCTGGTGAATGAACTCTTGACACAAGCATGTGTTACTTGATTAATCTAAACAGTTAACTGTATTTAATGTATTTTCCACAGTGCGATACCACAAAACAATTCCAAATTCTTGGGGAGGCGAAAAATGTTTTAACGAATAAAAAGGAGAGGGTCCTGTTCAACATGTTATACCCCGGGGCTGGCCAATGGACAGAACCATATAACTGGGACCTGACAGACTGTGAAATGAAAAATGCATCCGTTAAACAGAAAGTTCATCGGAAAGTCAAAGATGGATTACAAGTGTTAGTGAAATCGCTGAGAGGTTGGTCGCTAACTCAAGTGCCAAATATTACGTCATTTGTAGATCTGTATTACAACATTTTGACGGACTACTTCATCCTGGGTGTGTTCCTCGTTTCCTCGGCAACCCTTTGGTGCAGGTAATACAATTAAACAATACAATACACTTAGATATATCATTTTATAATAGACCAATGTATAAGTATGCAGCCAATAAGTCATAAGTGTTGTGGACCCGATATAATCACGATTAACTAGCTCCTATCGTAGCTATTGACTACTTACAGGGTATTAATTCAGTTTAATAGTGATATCACTTCTCTTAGAATCGTAGCTATTGATTACTTACAGGGTATTAATTCAGTTTAATGGTGATATCACTTCTCTTAGAATCGTACATATTGACTACTTACAGGGTATTAATTCGGTTTAATGATGATATCACTTCTCTTAGAATCGTAGCTTTTGACTACTTACAGGGTATTAATTGAGTTTAATGGTGATATCACTTCTCTTAGAATTTTAGCTATTGATTACTTACAGGGTATTAATTCAGTTTAATGGTAATATCACTTCTCTTAGAATTGTAGCTATTGAATACTTACAGGGTATTAATTCAGTTGTTTAATGGTGATATCACTTCTCTTAGAATCGTAGCTTTTGACTACTTACAGGGTATTAATTCAGTTTAATGGTGATATCACTTCTCTTAGAATCGTAGCTTTTGACTACTTACAGGGTATTAATTCAGTTTTATGGTAATATCACTTCTCTTAGAATCGTAGCTTTTGACTACTTACAGGGTATTAATTCAGTTTAATGGGGATATCCCTACTCTTAGAATTGTAGCTATTGAATACTTAAGGGTATTAATTCAGTTTAATAGTGATATCACTTCTCTTAGAATCGTAGCTATTGATTACTTACAGGGTATTAACTCAGTTTAATGGTGATATCACTTCGCTTAGAATCATAGCTCTTGACTACTTACAGGGTATTAATTCAGTTTAATGGTGATATCACTTCTCTTAGAATCGTAGCTTTTGACTACTTACAGGGTATTAATTCAGTTTAATGGTGATATCACTTCTCTTAGAATCGTAGCTATTGATTACTTACAGGGTATTAATTCAGTTTAATGGTGATATCACTTCTCTTAGAATCGTAGCTATTGATTACTTACAGGGTATTAATTCAGTTTAATGGTGATATCACTTCTCTTAGAATCGTAGCTATTGATTACTTACAGGGTATTAATTCAGTTTAATGGTGATATCACTTCTCTTAGAATCGTAGCTATTGATTACTTACAGGGTATTAATTCAGTTTAATGGTGATATCACTTCTCTTAGAATCGTAGCTATTGATTACTTACAGGGTATTAATTCAGTTTAATGGTGATATCACTTCTCTTAGAATCGTAGCTATTGATTACTTACAGGGTATTAATTCAGTTTAATGGTGATATCACTTCTCTTAGAATCGTAGCTATTGATTACTTACAGGGTATTAATTCAGTTTAATGGTGATATCACTTCTCTTAGAATCGTAGCTATTGATTACTTACAGGGTATTAATTCAGTTTAATGGTGATATCACTTCTCTTAGAATCGTAGCTATTGATTACTTACAGGGTATTAATTCAGTTTAATGGTGATATCACTTCTCTTAGAATCGTAGCTATTGATTACTTACAGGGTATTAATTCAGTTTAATGGTGATATCACTTCTCTTAGAATCGTAGCTATTGATTACTTACAGGGTATTAATTCAGTTTAATGGTGATATCACTTCTCTTAGAATCGTAGCTATTGATTACTTACAGGGTATTAATTCAGTTTAATGGTGATATCACTTCTCTTAGAATCGTAGCTATTGATTACTTACAGGGTATTAATTCAGTTTAATGGTGATATCACTTCTCTTAGAATCGTAGCTATTGATTACTTACAGGGTATTAATTCAGTTTAATGGTGATATCACTTCTCTTAGAATCGTAGCTATTGATTACTTACAGGGTATTAATTCAGTTTAATGGTGATATCACTTCTCTTAGAATCGTAGCTATTGATTACTTACAGGGTATTAATTCAGTTTAATGGTGATATCACTTCTCTTAGAATCGTAGCTATTGATTACTTACAGGGTATTAATTCAGTTTAATGGTGATATCACTTCTCTTAGAATCGTAGCTATTGATTACTTACAGGGTATTAATTCAGTTTAATGGTGATATCACTTCTCTTAGAATCGTAGCTATTGATTACTTACAGGGTATTAATTCAGTTTAATGGTGATATCACTTCTCTTAGAATCGTAGCTATTGATTACTTACAGGGTATTAATTCAGTTTAATGGTGATATCACTTCTCTTAGAATCGTAGCTATTGATTACTTACAGGGTATTAATTCAGTTTAATGGTGATATCACTTCTCTTAGAATCGTAGCTATTGATTACTTACAGGGTATTAATTCAGTTTAATGGTGATATCACTTCTCTTAGAATCGTAGCTATTGATTACTTACAGGGTATTAATTCAGTTTAATGGTGATATCACTTCTCTTAGAATCGTAGCTATTGATTACTTACAGGGTATTAATTCAGTTTAATGGTGATATCACTTCTCTTAGAATCGTAGCTATTGATTACTTACAGGGTATTAATTCAGTTTAATGGTGATATCACTTCTCTTAGAATCGTAGCTATTGATTACTTACAGGGTATTAATTCAGTTTAATGGTGATATCACTTCTCTTAGAATCGTAGCTATTGATTACTTACAGGGTATTAATTCAGTTTAATGGTGATATCACTTCTCTTAGAATCGTAGCTATTGATTACTTACAGGGTATTAATTCAGTTTAATGGTGATATCACTTCTCTTAGAATCGTAGCTATTGATTACTTACAGGGTATTAATTCAGTTTAATGGTGATATCACTTCTCTTAGAATCGTAGCTATTGATTACTTACAGGGTATTAATTCAGTTTAATGGTGATATCACTTCTCTTAGAATCGTAGCTATTGATTACTTACAGGGTATTAATTCAGTTTAATGGTGATATCACTTCTCTTAGAATCGTAGCTATTGATTACTTACAGGGTATTAATTCAGTTTAATGGTGATATCACTTCTCTTAGAATCGTAGCTATTGATTACTTACAGGGTATTAATTCAGTTTAATGGTGATATCACTTCTCTTAGAATCGTAGCTATTGATTACTTACAGGGTATTAATTCAGTTTAATGGTGATATCACTTCTCTTAGAATCGTAGCTATTGATTACTTACAGGGTATTAATTCAGTTTAATGGTGATATCACTTCTCTTAGAATCGTAGCTATTGATTACTTACAGGGTATTAATTCAGTTTAATGGTGATATCACTTCTCTTAGAATCGTAGCTATTGATTACTTACAGGGTATTAATTCAGTTTAATGGTGATATCACTTCTCTTAGAATCGTAGCTATTGATTACTTACAGGGTATTAATTCAGTTTAATGGTGATATCACTTCTCTTAGAATCGTAGCTATTGATTACTTACAGGGTATTAATTCAGTTTAATGGTGATATCACTTCTCTTAGAATCGTAGCTATTGATTACTTACAGGGTATTAATTCAGTTTAATGGTGATATCACTTCTCTTAGAATCGTAGCTATTGATTACTTACAGGGTATTAATTCAGTTTAATGGTGATATCACTTCTCTTAGAATCGTAGCTATTGATTACTTACAGGGTATTAATTCAGTTTAATGGTGATATCACTTCTCTTAGAATCGTAGCTATTGATTACTTACAGGGTATTAATTCAGTTTAATGGTGATATCACTTCTCTTAGAATCGTAGCTATTGATTACTTACAGGGTATTAATTCAGTTTAATGGTGATATCACTTCTCTTAGAATCGTAGCTATTGATTACTTACAGGGTATTAATTCAGTTTAATGGTGATATCACTTCTCTTAGAATCGTAGCTATTGATTACTTACAGGGTATTAATTCAGTTTAATGGTGATATCACTTCTCTTAGAATCGTAGCTATTGATTACTTACAGGGTATTAATTCAGTTTAATGGTGATATCACTTCTCTTAGAATCGTAGCTATTGATTACTTACAGGGTATTAATTCAGTTTAATGGTGATATCACTTCTCTTAGAATCGTAGCTATTGATTACTTACAGGGTATTAATTCAGTTTAATGGTGATATCACTTCTCTTAGAATCGTAGCTATTGATTACTTACAGGGTATTAATTCAGTTTAATGGTGATATCACTTCTCTTAGAATCGTAGCTATTGATTACTTACAGGGTATTAATTCAGTTTAATGGTGATATCACTTCTCTTAGAATCGTAGCTATTGATTACTTACAGGGTATTAATTCAGTTTAATGGTGATATCACTTCTCTTAGAATCGTAGCTATTGATTACTTACAGGGTATTAATTCAGTTTAATGGTGATATCACTTCTCTTAGAATCGTAGCTATTGATTACTTACAGGGTATTAATTCAGTTTAATGGTGATATCACTTCTCTTAGAATCGTAGCTATTGATTACTTACAGGGTATTAATTCAGTTTAATGGTGATATCACTTCTCTTAGAATCGTAGCTATTGATTACTTACAGGGTATTAATTCAGTTTAATGGTGATATCACTTCTCTTAGAATCGTAGCTATTGATTACTTACAGGGTATTAATTCAGTTTAATGGTGATATCACTTCTCTTAGAATCGTAGCTATTGATTACTTACAGGGTATTAATTCAGTTTAATGGTGATATCACTTCTCTTAGAATCGTAGCTATTGATTACTTACAGGGTATTAATTCAGTTTAATGGTGATATCACTTCTCTTAGAATCGTAGCTATTGATTACTTACAGGGTATTAATTCAGTTTAATGGTGATATCACTTCTCTTAGAATCGTAGCTATTGATTACTTACAGGGTATTAATTCAGTTTAATGGTGATATCACTTCTCTTAGAATCGTAGCTATTGATTACTTACAGGGTATTAATTCAGTTTAATGGTGATATCACTTCTCTTAGAATCGTAGCTATTGATTACTTACAGGGTATTAATTCAGTTTAATGGTGATATCACTTCTCTTAGAATCGTAGCTATTGATTACTTACAGGGTATTAATTCAGTTTAATGGTGATATCACTTCTCTTAGAATCGTAGCTATTGATTACTTACAGGGTATTAATTCAGTTTAATGGTGATATCACTTCTCTTAGAATCGTAGCTATTGATTACTTACAGGGTATTAATTCAGTTTAATGGTGATATCACTTCTCTTAGAATCGTAGCTATTGATTACTTACAGGGTATTAATTCAGTTTAATGGTGATATCACTTCTCTTAGAATCGTAGCTATTGATTACTTACAGGGTATTAATTCAGTTTAATGGTGATATCACTTCTCTTAGAATCGTAGCTATTGATTACTTACAGGGTATTAATTCAGTTTAATGGTGATATCACTTCTCTTAGAATCGTAGCTATTGATTACTTACAGGGTATTAATTCAGTTTAATGGTGATATCACTTCTCTTAGAATCGTAGCTATTGATTACTTACAGGGTATTAATTCAGTTTAATGGTGATATCACTTCTCTTAGAATCGTAGCTATTGATTACTTACAGGGTATTAATTCAGTTTAATGGTGATATCACTTCTCTTAGAATCGTAGCTATTGATTACTTACAGGGTATTAATTCAGTTTAATGGTGATATCACTTCTCTTAGAATCGTAGCTATTGATTACTTACAGGGTATTAATTCAGTTTAATGGTGATATCACTTCTCTTAGAATCGTAGCTATTGATTACTTACAGGGTATTAATTCAGTTTAATGGTGATATCACTTCTCTTAGAATCGTAGCTATTGATTACTTACAGGGTATTAATTCAGTTTAATGGTGATATCACTTCTCTTAGAATCGTAGCTATTGATTACTTACAGGGTATTAATTCAGTTTAATGGTGATATCACTTCTCTTAGAATCGTAGCTATTGATTACTTACAGGGTATTAATTCAGTTTAATGGTGATATCACTTCTCTTAGAATCGTAGCTATTGATTACTTACAGGGTATTAATTCAGTTTAATGGTGATATCACTTCTCTTAGAATCGTAGCTATTGATTACTTACAGGGTATTAATTCAGTTTAATGGTGATATCACTTCTCTTAGAATCGTAGCTATTGATTACTTACAGGGTATTAATTCAGTTTAATGGTGATATCACTTCTCTTAGAATCGTAGCTATTGATTACTTACAGGGTATTAATTCAGTTTAATGGTGATATCACTTCTCTTAGAATCGTAGCTATTGATTACTTACAGGGTATTAATTCAGTTTAATGGTGATATCACTTCTCTTAGAATCGTAGCTATTGATTACTTACAGGGTATTAATTCAGTTTAATGGTGATATCACTTCTCTTAGAATCGTAGCTATTGATTACTTACAGGGTATTAATTCAGTTTAATGGTGATATCACTTCTCTTAGAATCGTAGCTATTGATTACTTACAGGGTATTAATTCAGTTTAATGGTGATATCACTTCTCTTAGAATCGTAGCTATTGATTACTTACAGGGTATTAATTCAGTTTAATGGTGATATCACTTCTCTTAGAATCGTAGCTATTGATTACTTACAGGGTATTAATTCAGTTTAATGGTGATATCACTTCTCTTAGAATCGTAGCTATTGATTACTTACAGGGTATTAATTCAGTTTAATGGTGATATCACTTCTCTTAGAATCGTAGCTATTGATTACTTACAGGGTATTAATTCAGTTTAATGGTGATATCACTTCTCTTAGAATCGTAGCTATTGATTACTTACAGGGTATTAATTCAGTTTAATGGTGATATCACTTCTCTTAGAATCGTAGCTATTGATTACTTACAGGGTATTAATTCAGTTTAATGGTGATATCACTTCTCTTAGAATCGTAGCTATTGATTACTTACAGGGTATTAATTCAGTTTAATGGTGATATCACTTCTCTTAGAATCGTAGCTATTGATTACTTACAGGGTATTAATTCAGTTTAATGGTGATATCACTTCTCTTAGAATCGTAGCTATTGATTACTTACAGGGTATTAATTCAGTTTAATGGTGATATCACTTCTCTTAGAATCGTAGCTATTGATTACTTACAGGGTATTAATTCAGTTTAATGGTGATATCACTTCTCTTAGAATCGTAGCTATTGATTACTTACCGGGTATTAATTCAGTTTAATAGTGATATCACTTCTCTTAGAATTGTAGCTTTTGACTGCTTACCGGTTATTAATTCAGTTTAATGGTGATATCACTTCTCTTAGAATCGTAGCTATTGACTACTTACAGTGTATTTATTCAGTTTAATGGTGATATCACTTCTTTTAGAATACTTAGATATGATTAAATGATGATACAACTTTTAAAGATTTGATTTAAAACTTCGGGGGTATAGATAAAAATGTTTATATTTATAGACATACCTTATTCATATTGTTAATATACAGACACTTATTTCACAGTGTTTACAATATTCAGTTTGAATCAATTTCATATGTTTTCTTTACATTCACGTAAATGTAAAAGGAATTAGGGATACTGAAATTGTGAAGGATGTCAATATCACCGTCAACTGTCCTCATCACCGTTCGTTTGTGATTTTCAGGGACCTGGTTGGTCAATATATATCGTCTGTAAGTGTCACTTTCTACAGTCTCCACATTCTGACACTTGCCTTTGGGAGCAGACATTTATTTATTATGGTAAGGAACATTTTATTCAGGGATGAATATGATATACACCCGTGTTAAATTTGGTAATATATACAGTATACCAATAATAAATTACCCTACATCATACAGCTGTTTTGTGTTGCAATGATAGAAGTTATGCTAGAATATTGTTATTGTGATTGGGGTTTAGGTAGCACATGAAATATTGATATAAATACACCAACCAATAAGACTATAATGCTATAACTGATTGTCGTATATGTTACGCTGGCTCGTTACCTACCTACTACGTCTGAACATCTGAGAACAACAGGAACGAAACAAACTTTGGTTGTTGTTGATCGATATATTGTTCTGTACAGGAGAAATAATGACGAGTGTCAAATCCGAAATAAGAAATGTTTGCTTTCGAAAACAATTTGGTATATTTTGTAGGAAAATATCCAACAACTACTGTTCCAGTTATTTAGAGGGCCGTCACTGAAGACAACTGTTCTGGAGAACAGCTATATTCTACATTATTACGTCTATGTTGTGGTGTCCGGGGCGGCTGTTGCTGCTATATTTAACCAAATCCGCTCCCGTCACGTGACCAGGATAAAGAACGTCCTGTGGGCTGTGATTACAATCTCTGGCTGTTTGACTATTCTCGGAAGCCTACTCGACTCAGAATTAAACTTAGACTTTGACGTATCGTCCCTAGCTACCTCCGGTTATACCCTTATATTATGTGGGGTTATATATTATATTTTAAACAGGTAAAAAAACGCATGAAATGCCATTAGCGTGTATTTTATTGTTTCTTAACCAGGAAGTGAGGCCGGGAGTGATCATAGAACAAAACATTCATGTTGAAATAAAAGAACAATTTTGCAATAATATGACGTTCAGTTTTCAATTATATATGATCTTCAAAGAACCACGTGTTCTTGCGAGTAAGTGCAGTACTGAAGTGAAAGTTTACGACGTTATAGTACTTGTCCGAGCTACGTATTGAATAGAATACTATGTGACGTGTGGATTAATGTCAGAGTAGACTTAGAGCGATGTGTGACAAATCTTTAACATGAAAGTAGAAACCAATGCAATGTTTGATTCGTGTGACAAACATTCAAGAGAAGTAGTTTAATATTACGTGTGACATGTAAAACTTAAACATACAAAAGGTTCTATAGCAATTAAGGCCGACTACACAAACAAAAGTTCTTGATGTCAATTTAACATATAATATTTTAACATGACATTCACCACATTCTCATGTCAAATTCAGGTTAAATTCAGTCTGATTTCCCCCCCAGCTCAATTAAGCGCCATATCAGGTCAAATTGACGTCAATTTGTTTACCTGAAATTTACTTTTTTTTGCTCTTTTTATGTCAAATTGACCTGAATTTCTAAAACTCGGCTGTTCTTTCTACTGTATATAGATCTTACTAACGTGTAAAGTCAAAAACGTTACTCTTTTACTTAAGCAACGAGTCGTCTATGGCACATGGATCTATAAGTTGTGGGATAGTAATTACATATAAATTGTGTCTATTATTTGTCTTGTACAAAGGTGGATATATATAACACATCAATTTTAAGTCATTCCTTTATTTTAAATTTTCTAGTGTAGACTTTGTTTTCACGGATTCTCCTGTCCGTTTCATTTTATATATTTGACACCGTGAAATTTTTCCTTCCTGCAAATTATTTGTATAGTAACTCAAAATATTTCATAGTCTGGTTTACGAATTAAAAGACCTACATATAAACTGTACTTAATATTGCTATTGAGTCGTTTATTCAGTCTTGTTTGGAAATTTATTCTTATGGAAAATTCAACAAAAATCCAAAAACATACGTTGGATGATACACTCGATAGTAACCTGAGCGAGAATGATGTCAACAACCCTAATTAATGGAGTTATATCAAATACATATTAATGTTGTTATCATAAAAGCAAGGTGAAAGCACAAAACTACTTAGAAGACTATTGTTGATTTAGTTGGTAGTATCTTGGTGACAACAGTTGTATGACGTCATAAAAAGTTCTATAGACTCCGTGTCCTCTTTTTGCTTTCTGCATTCGATGCGGAACGCGTTAAACAGGGATTGTTTATATTAACTTTTAATATCAATGAGGAGTGCCCAATGACGAAAATGGCTGGATGGTGCTGTAATGCTCTCTTCGATTTGCAAATAAGTGGTTTTTTTTCTTCTTTTAACTGCTTTTCTATATTTGTCACACGGATGTATTCATATATAACTTGAATCTGATTTTGCATAATATTTAATTTGTCTTAACAGAAGATACATTCTGTACCAGCGCAGAAACCATTGTTGTGTATCTAACCAAATACCGGTCCGCTGTTATGATCCCCGTTCCTGTAAAAGACAATTGAATCCAATGTAAAGGAGTTTTACGATAATAGATATTAGTTTATCTGTTGTCTTTAACCGTACTAACAGTTTGACTGGGATTTACACAATTAAACCACTGTACATTCAACACTTGATAACTCTAATTAGTATGTACAATGTATTTTTTTTTTAAATCCTAGTATTTATATATACCTATATTCAAATGAACACATCAGATACTATTGCAAGAGAGTTAAAAGAGATCATGTTTATTAAAATTATAAAACAGGGCTTGAACGCGGGAACTTTCGAGCACCTCTTATATATTTTAAATTTACAAATTCCGTATGTTTAATATGTTCGGATGAACTAAGTATTGTGCTTTGAAAATCTTTTTTACTATCAGATGTTTTTAGCTAAGGCGTGAGCCGCCAGCTATTGGTATTACTTTAGTTAATGAGCTCAAGATATTCATAAATGTCGATTTCACACAGACGGCCTCTAGCGGTACCCACTGGTACTAAATTGAATCATATACCGGATCTACTGTCTTTATTATGCGTAACTTTGGACTCAAATGCAATTGAATGGCTTGTAAATATCATTCCTTTCCTTTGTAGAACATATGATCTTATCACAACCTCGTATTCTTATTGAAAATGCCCTCTGTTTATCTCAATCGGGAACTGCTACCTGACTGTAGGTCATGCATGCTACACGCAGCTTCCGGTNTATTCATAAACGAGACATAACGTCACCTTCTAGTAATACTAAACAAACTGCAAATAAAATCCATTACCACGGACTCAAGTTCACTCAAACGTCATTGGATATAATCTTATTCTTAGTTAGAACTAAGTATCCTTCTAAAACTTCGTATTTACTCTTGGAACTGTCGCTGGATTAACCCTTTACACGGAAATATTGTCCTGTGATTGGCTAAAATTGGTGACATTTACGTCCCTGTTTACAATTATATATTGCGTGGTCAGAGCTATGAAGCGGTCCTGTTCCAACTAACTGAGGATAATCAAAAGTGCTAATCAGTAATAATATATCTGATTCACGCTTCATATGATTATAATGTTATCAAAATATTGCATATTCGTTCATCGTTAAAATAACAAATCCTTACTAAAAACTCTAAAAAAAGAAACGACGGCCATGTTAGATCACGCGTGATGTTATCCGTTTCCTTATATGGCCTTCACGGCCAAATATAGTATTACTACTGATGCGGTCATGTTTACTACAATTTCCATATTTGGTCATGACACCCATATTTAGACGTCTGACCTATATCGGAAAGATTGAGGAAGTTTCCAACATGGCAGTCAATTAGGATTTCGCTTGCACTTGTTACGTAAACTTGATAATTTAACGAAATATAAGGCGGAGTATAACTTACAATTATGTAGGAGATCAACATAAAAAGTTCATATTACAAACCTATTAATGGATACGGATCCTGTCAATTAATTCTAAAATCGCCTCCGTGTGATTCACACCAGGCTTGCCTAACTAAAATGGGATCAACCGGCCGGGGCAGATGAGACCGGGAATCATGTTAGAACTAGCCACTGTCCTTCTCTAGTTCCATATTGGTATTCTAACCTGAAGGCTTTTTTTACCTTCGCAGTATTATCATTTTGTTCTATTTTCATCATAAGATATGCTATTGCATTTTTATATCGCCTTCTCGCTAATTACAGCTCAGCCAGAAACGAAAATATGCTCCGATAGGCCTACATTTTATATGTCTGTTGGTGTGATTTGTGTTTTTCGTTTATTGAAGTATTACCATATAACAGGACTCTTTTATTTCAATATACACAAAAACAACAACACCTTCGGAATGATTTCAGACATATACTGCGGGAAAACACGAGTGATCTCCCTTACATTTAGACATGCGCACATTTTACTTTCGTTTTGTGTAGGCCTAGACATCATTCGCAACGCGAAGCGGAAAAGACGAAAATGCAGGCGAGTGTTGACTTAATGTTAGGCATGTTGTTTAAGCAGCATTGACAATGAACAATATACATACACTTCTGCAATGTTTACCTACTACTGATTCATAAATAAGGCTATGTATCCCGATTTCGGTGACTTGTGGCCAAGCATGCGGCCGAAGCCGCAGAGAATGGCGCATGTTGTCAGCGGCGATGACAAAAAGGAAGGTGCTTCTACGGTATGTATAGCAGTTATTATGCAAAAACAAACATAATAAACGGACGTTTTACTCTAGTGAATTACAGCGTCACGAGGAACGTCTTTCTCCAGACGTGTTGCAAAATTTTCGAACTGCTTAGTTGCAAACTGATTTCACTTAAGCGTTGTTTGTGAGGATATTTGGCCTTACATTTCTTCTCATTCAGTTAAAAAAAAACATGTTATAAACATTGTATTATTAGATTCATTGTGATGTTGGCTTTCATTGAAGTTTCAATTGTTATACTACTTGATGTTTTGGAAACTTAAACAAGTATAGTAGTTCTAAATATTATGAAATGACAGAAACATTAGGCCAAACAAATTACTTGTGTTTCTACTATCAGAAAAAAATAGGGTAGGTATGTATTAGCTAGGCATTTTATTGTTAATTTGAAAAATATCTTTACTGCGCTAATATAGAGCAGGAGTTCTGACTTTAACAGTGCATATAAAAACTTAAGGGTATTGTAGAACACAAATCTGAGATAAGTCTGGTTAACCACACTGGTGTCGAACACACCAATAAGTATAGTGTGTATAATATATCATAGTTTATACACATCATATTACTATTAGTGTGTCCAGTATCTGTGGGGTTAGCATAAACTCAATATTTGTTTTAAACTTTTAATTGGCCTTATATAATGATCATTTATAGGTCAGACAGGGTTTGGTTTCCAATTCGGAAACTAGACCTGTTAAAACAGTTATCATTTGTAATTTAGAGATTAAATATTTCTAAGCAGAAAAAAATGAACTATAAATATTTTTCAACCTTTTCTGAGTTGTACAATTTTAGAGTATCTTCTGTCTGAAATCTGAACATAACTTGTTTTATGATAAATGTGTAAAACAATTCCTCATACTGGGGTAAAGTTTTTCTATATATAGTCCCAAAAACTACAGATAAAATCCTTGAGCACGTACAAGATACAAAAATATATATTTTACGTCCATTTTGCAAAACATACAACATAAGCTACAAAGACAAAACATGAGTATAATAACAGAGACCAAAATATTACAACATGGAAAAATAAAATAAAAACATGTATGTACATGTAGTATACTGTAAGCTCAGAAAAAGAGTTTATCACTTGGAAAGCACTTAATAGGCACATTGAACACGGTAAGCACATCAGCACATGGTAATTTAAGCACATTTAGAACATTTGCATACAGCACATAAAAAACAAAACCATAACATGGAAAGCTTATTAGCACATAGTAGGCACATTTGCACATTGTAAGCAAAATAAAGGAGTGCAATGGACATCTCCATGTTTCCTGGTTAATTTCTTCTTTATGGAAACAACCAGGGGAGAGTGATGTTCTGCTTCATCTTTTGTATTAATGAAAACCGTGAATATCTAAGTGCGTGTGTTTAAACTAATTTTGTTTTGTTTTTACTGGTACCTTTTTATGTACACATGTTTTACCACCTAAGGAATTAGATGTCTTAAGCCCCCATATGATGTGCTGTTATAAGTTGAATTTAATGTACATTTTGTTTATATTTAGTTCTGCTACCAAAGAGATTGACTTATTGAAATGTTTTTGAAACATTTTAATGAACTCCTCAGCTTTAATGCCTTATTTCTCACTATACAAGCTCATATTGCTATGCCTCCTATTTGTTTGAATATCATCTCTAAACATTATTGCTGGTGCAGAAATTATATGGTAACTATGTTCTATTTTAGGGGGGGAAAGCAATCAATATTACAACAGACAGGGATGGTTATTGATGGGAGAAAGGAGGATGAGAAATAGGAACTGTACCAACTCTCTCATACCTTTGAGGACTTCATGAACTTTTTCAAAAGGCTGCAAGAACTATACCAACAGTGACATGACATTTTGAAATCTGTCAGTTACTTTATAGAGGAGGAACCTCTGACTAAATCATTTTCTCTCAGACACATGAAAGCCGAGTCCACAGATCCTTCCATCAGCGAATAGTTCAAATGTAGTTCAAATGCTTTCCTCGCAAACTTTTCCTTAATGGAGAAGTCAGTGATCTTTACTTGGAACAGATTGAATCTGTGAATATTGATGCTGAAAGCCTGATGAATGTGATTGAACAGCCCCTACTTGATGCTGAAACCCTGATGAATGTGATTGAACACCCACTACTGACTAAGGGCACAAATGTTGGAAACAACGTTTGTTTTGATCAATATAACACTATGGGTGGTGGGAGCAAATTGGAAAAAAAATTAAAAGTATGTTTTTAAAGATAGAAATACTGGTCATGGCTTCCTTTTAGTTTTTGTCCAATGAATTAAAAGTCAACGCAAATGTTAAGTAGTAAAAGAAATGTAAGATCCCTGGTATACATTGTACTTTTAACAATGCTTATGATCAATATCAATAAAATAAAATAAAAGTTATAATATGTAACTTGATATTTGTTAACTTCGCTCGATTTTACTGTGTCCAACATTTGATATTAAATCTTGTGTGATATATGAGAGGGATAGCACACAAGATTGTATCAATGTCAATGAAAGCAATTATTTCTTAAGTTTTCAACCATATTTCTTGAAACTTCATTTCTAAATTTCATACATCAATTGTTCAAGACAGTTTTAAGGTCAATTTCATTCAGTCAAGGTGAAGGCTACAGCTTCACAACCTGTTCATGTACATGTGACAGAGAAATTGTCAGTGCATTCCTAACTAAGTATTCAAACCAAATTTTATAAACCTTGATCCATCATTCTCAACATTAAATCATGCACTACCTGTTTGCATATACACAAGCAACCTCAACTTTCAATAAGTCCTGTTGTCAACATTTGTTGCACAATGCTATCAGTTCTGAAACCAACAATCATGACAACTGTAATAACATAGTATGTGTTCTAGCTGGTACATTTGCAGTACTCTTTTGAAATGTATTTGAAATTAATATGTGCATCTTATTTCAAATGCTAGCCTATGAAGATGATAAAGCTGAACATATGCTATAAAGTTGTTGTTTTCTTTGTGAAGAATTTATGCAATGGAAATAGAGGGAAAATAATGTAACTCTCCTAATCTTGTGTGTGTGTGTGAGTATGTATGTTTATATTTTGTTTATCTTATTCAATATTGAAACATACAACAATGTATCATATTGAATTAGAGTGCTTTTTATATTATTTGTTCATGGGAACACAGATTCAAAATAGTTCCATTTTTCATAAGAAGAGACCTTTTCACTGCAGTGAATATGTAAAACACTTTATTTAAAAGTTTTTCAAAATTATTGAGAGACTTGTAAATTTATGGGTAGCAGTAATCCACTTGCTTATCCACAATTTAGTTTCGGCAAGTAAACATCCTTATAAATATTGTTCTGTAACAATATACACTGACTGATGCAAAATTGAAACTTGAACAAAATTCACACGTATTAAAAAGCATGCCAACCCTGGTCGATGTGCACACTTTACAAGATAACTTGCTTGAATATATATTGATCAATATACAAACTTAGACGATAAGTTCAAAGTTGAGTGAAATCCATGCCTAATTAATTAGCATACTGTACTCTGATTGGTCAATGGTTTTATGCCAAGTAACTTTGTCAGATAAGGCAAGGGTTGATATCTTATTCAACAACAAAGGCAAAGTTCAAAGATGTTCACAATCTGTGCATAATCTATTTAATGGTTTAAAATAATCAGGTATTGGTCAAAGGGGTAAATGCCAGTTTCAGTTTTTAATGTTCTATGAAATACATTGTATGGACAAAGGGAAGCAATTCCTAATTCCTATGCAAATTAATTATCCAAAGGTTTAAAATTATATATTCTAGAGGAAACTTGGTACCCCTCTTCTGACAAACCTATAAAGATATACTGTACACACAAGAAGAATAACTTCACAGTGGTACACTTTTACATAAAACTTTGATTCATAATAATTTAACAGTAAATCCTTCTGTACAATATGATGGGAACTTCGTCTTTATTTTGTTCTCTATTCCAAAAATAATATATATATATCTTTTGCCTTAGCTTTCAGTACTTTCAGTACTTTGATTAACTTTTACTATTGAACAATGTATTCATTTGAGCATTTGTAATATGCTCCGTTTAAATTGCATGAAGAGCCCCAAAATTGGCGAGAGCGCTCGTCGACTATACTAGTTTTCGAGTTTTGCTTTATTTATATTTTTACCGTCACATGGACATTTAAAACTATTTATCGCTACCTATATTTATATTTAAGAATAATCAAACGCTCATATTACAGGACAATTAGGAAAGAAATATCGCATGCTATCTCATTTTGATATGTTATTTACTGTACGCTGGATTTGAGATTTTTTATATATATATTTTTTTCAATTATTTGCTATATTTCGTTGAGTTTGTGGTGCATGTCAAGGGTTAACGTTTGAACGATGAATGCTAAAATAGCATTACAGAGTTATACTATTTATTATTTTGATGATGCCTATATTTTGTAGATACGATGTATCTAGCTATGTTAATACAAACTAAGGGAAGTATATCTGTTAATTTTCCCTACGTAAATCAAAGTTCGAGCGTATAAACTAGTTCACTAATAAACTAAATACAATGCATTCTCAACACTTAAACGGCCTGAAGCAACATTAATTTGCTTGAAGGTTTATCATGTTTCAAGCTTTGAATTCAATTAGTAAGCATGGTACATAAACAGATGTTAAAGTATATCCCCACGGGTGGTGGGCATTCGATATTGGCGCGAATAAGATTGCTTACCTGGTTTTAGCAGTAAATCACCACGGGAAGTTAGAATTCAAGAAGAGGTTGGAGGTTGGCATTAGAGAGGGGCGTGGCTAATGTATCTTACCTGGTGTCACAGATATAGTAGTACACCCCCTGGTTAGCATTAGAGAGTGGCGTGGCTAAGGTTTCTTACTTGGTCTTACTTATATCGTAATACATCACCATGGCATCCCCATCTGAGGTTGACATAAGCGAGGGGCGTGGCTAAGGTTTCTTACCTGCTCTCACAGGTTGGCATTAGAGAGGGGCATGGCTATGGCTTTTTTACCAAGTTTCACAGATATAGTAGTACATGCCCATGATAATTTATCATTAGCGAAGACAGTGGCTAAGGTTTCATACCTGGTCTAACATATATAGTAGTACATTCCCATGATGGAAGGTTGGCATTATAGAAGGCCTTGGCTAAGATTGCCTATCTGGTATAACACATATAGTAGTACATCACCATGGCATCCCCATGTGAGGTTGACATAAGCGAGGGGCGTGGCTAAGGTTTCTTACCTGGTCTAACATATATAGTAGTACATTCCCATGATGGAAGGTTGGCATTATAGAGGGCCTTGGCTAAGATTGCCTACCTGGTATAACACATATAGTAGTACATCACCATGGAAGGTTGGATTTAGAGAGGGACGTGACTAAGGTTTCTTACCTGGTCTCACAGATATAGTAGTACATTCCCATGGGTGGTGGGTGAGTGTGATGGACGTGGGTGTGGTTATTGTTATTCGCACGCTTTCCTCTCGAAGAACACTTTTCGTCTTCCCATAACAATTCACGATCTACCCATTTCAGTGTCAGGCAATTTTCGACTGTAGTCCCATTCGGTTGTCCTGGAGCCCATTTTGTGAAGGTCAGAGGACCACCGGTCTCCAGCCATCTAAAGCTTCCCTCAAACGTGTAGTCGGTAGCACCTATAAACCACTCTGCTATACCGCGACCTAAACATAATATAAACATTTCCAATATCAAGCAACACAATGATTTATGAAGGTCAAAAAAACACACACTTTATCAACCCTAACCCTAAAACCCTTGTCCCAAAGCGCTAAACACGAAAAGTAAGTATCTAAAATAGATTATTTTAGTTTAAACGATTTTTATCACTTATAATGACACGTGTTGTCGTAAGTTGCGAAGTTGTCCACCGACATTTATTTTGTCCCCCAGAACATGCATTGTGTCTGTTAATGATACAAGGTGTTTACTACATTGGTTTTTGGGATTAAGTGTTCCTTATATGTCAGTATGAGATATTGTCTTCTGTATCACCGAGTAGTATTATATCCAAATAATGCTACTTCAAAAATGGCATTTATTTCTCAACATTCACGAAGTTTAACAACATTGGCTTTCTGGACATATTCCACGACTTGTGTAACGAGTTATGCGGTCGATATATACCAATACGCACTGTGCTGAGGTCAGCTATTTTATGCAAAAATGAATTACGTTTTCATCAGTGTGCTCAAGCATAAAATATCTAAATATACTATCAATATAATGTATTTCCACTTTTACATTAACATCAACATCAAGTTATTGACACAGAAACAAAAAAGTGATTCATAGTAAGAATAGGATTAATACATGATATTTACCAAGCTGTAAGAATAAAGATACATGTCATTGCTCTATGCCGTGCGTTTGCAACAAAAAGAGGCAATTAATATTATCATACACAGGTTTGATATTTGGGGACAATGAATTAATTTTAAAACTAAGGTTGGTGGTAAAATAAACGCGAGCGTGCACAGTTACTAAGAAAATATCTTACCTCTTTACCCTCCAAGGATGGTTGTCTTAACTGCGAACTTATTGGAGATTGTTTCCTTTTAAACTTTTTGAGGATAGTCGTCTTACGACCCAGTACATTAAGAATAGTAGCCTTACCTCTTAACCCTCTAAGGATGGTTGCCTAGCTTACCTATTTTTCACTGTGAGCGGGGTTGCCTTACCTCTTTACCCTCTAAGGATGGTTGCTTTACTTACATTTTTTCCACTGTGAGCGGGGTTGCCTTACCTCTTTACCCTCTAAGGATGGTTGCTTAACTTCCCTTTTTTCATTGTGAGCGGGGTTGCCTTACCTCTTAGCACATTGAGAATGGTGGCCAGGAAATCATGTTTATCCTGGCTGTCGTCACTCAGTAACCAGGCAGTCTTGGACCTACAATCGGCCTGTTGATATGACATTCTATCTTTAGTTATGGTAATACAGATATTTGGTAAAAATAAGAAGTAAGAAAAAAAGAAGAAACGAATATATATCCAACACTGTTAGCACATAGAGCAAAATATAAGACATCCTCAACAATATGTACCTAACATCAGCACAAAATGGTGAAATATACCACATGGAGCAGCAAATAACCTACTCATTTTTTTTCGAAATCGACATAGTTTAACAGTTGATGATAACTCTCCGTGTAAAAGTTATATTTGATTACATTAGTAGGTGACAGGAGATTTCACCGATCATTACAATTAAGTGGAAAAATGATTTGTGATATATTTTTCTAGTTTATCTGAGGTTAATGTTAAAAGGCTACTTATTAAAAACATTACGAAACCAATTTATTGTCTTATTCAATAATACATGGTTGTATTTATGCTTTATATTACCTACCTCAGCATCGTTCCACGATTTCTTGCCTTGACTAAACCAGATACAATCCTCTTTGTACTCTGTCCAGCCGATCTGACAGGTCGCCAGCACCAGTGGTAAACCTGTTTTATTATATAATGAATTAGTTATCACTACTACATTCTCGCAAATCCAATGGTTCCATGCTCGATGAACTTATTTCTCAACACCCAATGGCTTCACATGTCAGATATCGTGATAAAATCGAAGGTTCTTCACGCTACTCCTTGATCCTTGATACAAGAAGAAAAAACTTTGATGAAGATCAAAGGAATCGCTCTGCTGGGAAATGGTAAAATCGACAGGCTCGGATGGAAGTTGAGACAGATTTGGCTCTACGAATTGTTAAGGACTTTTGTACCACCGCGAGCTTGTAACGTTCATTTCCAAGTGGTGGAGAGAAGATATATATTTGTATTGAGAGCTGTACCCTTAGATATCGAGGATGTCAATTCCTGGTGATAAACATATAGTACAGGTCATCGAGACCAGGGGCAACATGAACCAAGTAGGAAGATGGTCATAACCAGTTGAAATATATGATATTGCTACGTTGTCGTAATTACGGTAACCTATGACATGGAAATGGCAAACAAACCACTGTGTTATACTTCAGCATGTGTCAGCCCCATGACATGTTAGACTGGTGACTATACTGGAAAGATCAGTTTCTGACGTGTCTTATCACAATCTGCAAGTATCTATACAAATTGATTTCTCTTTCCTAATCATTAAATCTTAAGTCCCATCTCACATCTTAAGACTATTTGCAAACTTCATTTTAATGCTCTTATATATTGAGACAATGCATAAAATAAAGCTGTCACGCAATTCAAGCATAAACACAAGTGTCGTAATGGCAGGGTTCTCCCCAGGCCATTTAGCTGATACGGCTCCGTATCAGCTTCAGTTTGAAATCCTCCCTGCCGTATCAGCTTAATTGACCCGTATCACCTTAAACTGTGAACCGTATCACCTTGTTATTTGTACTGAACAGAAGGTGGTCTTTTTACACAAGAAATTGACACTGATTAAATTACACGGCTGACCCAAGTCCATCAATGACCCCACTGGTCAGATGCACGATAAGCGTATTGCCACAGGGGGCCTGTAATTAGTGGGGAGGGGGACCGGACGACAAGCCCACAGGTGTCCGGCAAGCGTGCTCACTGGAGCCTAAAGCAATTACCACCGGATCCTTTTAGCATGGTCAATAGGTGATTAATTGAGGTACCTACTGTTGGATTAACAAAACAAACACTTATTACATCTATTATAAATTAATTTACTCACATATGATTGCATTTGACAACGCTGAAATAGCGTGTGTATTTAGTTAGTGATGATCGCCATCTTGGATTGTGTAAAGTACAAACCGGAAAGGGGAATGAAATTCCGGATTTGTCGTTTTTAATGAAGAAGAGCTCAAATAAAAATGCTGTTTTAATCTTTGATCACATTTACTGACAGCAGTATTTAATATAGTTTTAGAGGAAATAAAAACACTGTACATTTTATTAAAACATTTTCTCTTACAATAATAAGGACTATGATATAAACTTGTTCATGTAAGTGTTTCCCCCTATAGCTTTTAAATATTTCTTCTTTAAATTATTTTTAATGGGGATTAAGTAAGGGATACAAATGTAAAGATAAGAGACAAATGTCACAAATGTCATATCTATTATTCAATGTACAAAACTCATCAACCTTTCTATAAATTGTTTTTTTTTTCAGAATATATTGCTGAAAATTCAGACATAAGAAACACTTATTTATTTCCTTGGTTTTAATGTTCACCAAAAGAAGTTTGGTAAATAAAAGTAACTTTTTAAACATTATATTACACCCCCCCACCCCCTTAGGTTTGATAAGGTATTATATTAGCGTGTCCGTCTTGAATGTTCATTGCAAATGAAACATATCAGCTTAAAAAAATTCTGGGGATGATAAATTCAGCTATATTTTGTTATGACAATACACATTTATATTCCATTTGAATACCGATAAATGATCCTTCAAAATTAACTTGGAAGTCCTATTAGCAACTGATTACTTTAGTACAAAGGTATAATGATGAGGTCACCGTTATAATGATTGTATAATTCTTATTTACGATTCTTCTAAAGAACGACTGTTACATTTTAGGGGAAACAGTATCTTTTTAATAGGATAGGATAGATGATGGGTGCATGCAGTAACCTCTATGTCCATATCATATAATATAACAATTTTAATTTACAAATCACTCCCGTTGTTAGATTTGTAGCCAGCAAGGTGATTTAATTTCAGTTCAAGATGTTTCCAATAATTGTCCAAACTAATTTCAAAGTCTTTAATCTATCAGAACGCCTTATTAAACATAAATTGAATTTTTTATTGATGGCATTTTAAACGCTATTAAATGTTCCTTAAATAGTACAAATAAACATTGACTAAATTTTAGTTGAAATACACTGACGATATGGGTGCGTATTCGCAACCTTATCACGGAGTGCTGGAAAGGACTTGACAAACTATGTTGATTCCAATGTGCATTTATATTGACAAAATATGTTTAAAACAGAATGGTATTTTATGCTTAAACAATATGTCACCACCTGTTAATCATTCACAGTCTTACCGACACACAAGAGCAGTCCTAATCGCAGAACCATGGTCGTAGCTGATAATAGGTGGAATGGCAGATATCAGTAGTCCGGGAGAGGGTGATAAGGTTTGACCGCTTGTTAGGTAGTATAGCTATCACCGTTGTTGAACAGGTCTCTCGCTGAGTGCAATTGACTTCAATGATCATGTTGTGTGTTGAATAATTCGTTTTGTTTTCTATTTGTAAATTTACAATGCTTTAAAAAGATGTATTCAAAGCAATTACACACCAATTATCCAAGTACATTGTCAGAACTTGTATTACAATCGGAAGCTTAAGTGGGACATTTACCTGAAAATTTGGTCATTCGTTCACGCGATAAGGTAACCTACTTACATTACAAACATTAAATATAGATACAATTTTAGCACCAACGCGTCACCTCTCTTCTAACAACTTAATGTATCACCGCTTACTTACCGACACAATGCGTCAGATATTTTTAAACAGTCCCTTTCCTAGCAACACAACGCGTCACCTGTCTTCTAAAGAAACAACCAATCTGTCCTTTAACACGACATAATATATCACCTCTCTTTTAGCAACACAACATCTTTTTTTCTCTCTTTACGCCGCAACGGGTCATCTCTCTTCTAAATTCAGAAAAGATTTACAGAAAAAAACAACATTTTTGTTCGAGTATAGGTGATCGGTTTCCATTTTCAATGTTCTCTTCTGGTGATCTTTGTTGACCTCACATGTATGACACCTAACCACATTTTTACGTCACGTTTAAGTGACCTGACTACATTATTTCATCACCTGTTAGTGACCTGACCCCAAGTTTTATTTCACGTGTACGTGGAATGACCTTAGTGTTTACGTTACGTGCAAATTACCTTACCTCAATATTAACTTCACCCATAAGACACCTGTTCCAGGGATCATGAAATAATCTTAGATTTGGGTTTGTGCTTAGCCAATCAGGTATGATGGACTTTTCATGACGTTATTTGTGATTGGTATAAGTCAAAAAATGAAGACAATTTAAGACTTAAGATTTCATGATCTCCGGGCCTAATCACATTATTTACCTGTAAGTGCCTTTACCTCAGTGTTTATTTCACATGCAAGTGACTTGACCTCAGTGTTTATTTCACCTGTAAGTGTTCTGACCTCAGTGTTTATTTCACATGTAAGTGTTCTGACCTTAGTGTTTATTTCACATGTAAGTGTTCTGACCTCAGTGTTTATTTCACATGCAAGTGTTCTGACGTCAGTGTTTATTTCACTTGTAAGTGTTCTGACCTCAGTGTTTATTTCACTTGTAAGTGTTCTGACCTCAGTGTTTATTTCACATGTAAGTGTTCTGACCTCAGTGTTTATTTCACCTTTAAGTGTTCTGACCTCAGTGTTTATTTCACCTGTAAGTGTTCTGACCTCAGTGTTATTATCATGTGTACATGACGTGACCTCAACATTAACGCCACGGGTAACATGGCCTCTTTGTTAACTACCAGTGACCTAAGCTCAATGTTAACCTGTACATATTCGGACCTACTTGTTAACGTTAACCGTTAGTGACCTGACTTAGTGCTTGTGTAATTGGTCCTGTCTTAACGGTTACAGAACGTGTAGATGACTTATCTCGTTCGGACAGGGCTGTCGGGCTGTCGGACAATTTCATATGTCGGTTCCCATGTCCCTTTCCCACTACATATCTGTTGGCTGAAAGGTAGACATGCATTTACACCTAGTTTTGACTCTTGCTATTGCTTTAGGTAAGTGGAAATGATTCCTTACATTTTCAATCCTTTTGGAAGTACATTACTTTACTACAAATATTGTATACATTCATATATTTTTTTTCTCCAAAAAAAAATATGCTCTCATTTGTATCTCTACCTAAGGACATAACATAATTGCTTACCACACAGAGGGTGACTAGGCCAGTTGACTAGGAATCCTTTATCAAGCCTACAAGGTATTCAAATAATGGATTACAATAAATATTTCGTAATGACATTTCATTTTAGCTGTTGCCGTTGTGAAGGCAAACAAATGTGAAAGTGGATGGGCAGAGTTTAAAGAGGATTGTATCTATATTGGTCATGACCGTACGTCATGGGATGACGCCGAGGTGAGTACTTAATAAGGGATGACGCCGAGATGAGTACTTAACAAGGGTTGATGCCGAAATGAGTACTTAACAATGGTTGATGCCGAGACGAGTACTTAACAAGGGATGACGCCGAGGTTATTAATTAACAAGGGTTGATGCCGAGATGAGTACTTAACAAGGTTTAATACCGAGGTGAGTACTTAATAAGGGATGACGCCGAGGTGATTACTAAACAAGGGTTGATGCCGAGATGAGTACTCAACAAGGGTTGATGCCGAGATGAGTACTTAACAATGGTTGATGCCGAGGTGAGTACTTAACAAGGGATGACGCCGAAGTTATTACTTATTCTACCACGTCTGTGATGTAACGACGGTTTTCATTTGTTAAAAAGAGTGCATTATTGAGCGATATACCTTGCGCGTGCCAATATCCAATGCCAATAACCAATGCACATGAAAAAGTGCGCACGCATACTGTTCCAACAACCTCCCCGTATTTTATAATGAATTAAAAAAATAGCATAACTGTCAGGCGGGATCAAAATATTTGACTGGCCTGCCATTCAAAAGATTACACGGATATATAGACCTAAAGTTTGTGGGTCCGTGCAGTGAAAATGGTTTATTAATTATTGACATTTAAAATGTACAGGTCTGAAGACAAAATGGTAAATTATTAATTACTTCTGTTTTTACTTCACTGGGTAGTGCCGTTCATTTCACGATGTGTGTAGTGTGTGTATGTACTGTCAAGCGTTGATTTCATGTTTTGACGAACGATGTCGATAGCGTGCCAATGTTTGATTGATTGAAATAAACATCGTATCTGACGTCACACGTGTTTAGTTGTTTCTGGTCTGCAAAACGTCGTCTGCTTTCAAAATATCAAAGTGATGTGGAGCATTCGCCTACAGTGTAAATACCGTTTGTGAAGAATAATTTTGCAAAAAGTAGCATCGGTCTGAACAGTGGTTGCAAAACACAGCTGTCCGGTGAAGTCGGTGAAGGTGAAGGTCGCATCGTGATCAGCCGGTCAGCGAATTTCCATCACGAAAATGTTGGAAAAATAATTAACTCTGGCCGAAGCGACATTCGTTAATTATTTTAACCAACATTTTCTCACTCTCGTTATATATTCCACCATAATGCACGTGCATATGCTGATTATTTCTTAAATAAGGGATAAGGCCGAGGTGAGTACTTAACAAGGGTTGATGCCGAGATGAGTACTTAACAAAGGTCAATGCCGAGGTGAGTACTTCATAAGGGATGACGCCGAGGTGATTTCTTAACAAGGGTCAATGCCGAGGTGAGTACTTAATAAGGGATGACGCCGATGGGAGTACTTTACAAGGGTTGATGCCGAGGTGAGTAATTAACAAGGGTTGATGCCGAGGTGAGTACTTAACAAGGGATGACGCCGAGGTTATTACTTATTCTACCACGTCTGTGATGTAACGACAGTTTTCATTGGTTAAAAAGGGTGCATTACTGAGCAATATATCATGCGCGTGCCAATAATCAATGCATGTGAAATAGTGCGCACGCATGCTGTTCCAACAACCTCCCCGTATTTTATCATGAATTAACAAAAAAACAAACATAACTGTCAGGCGGGATCAAAATATTTGACAGGCCTGCCTTTCAAAAGATTACACGGATCTATAGACCTAAAGTATGTGGGTCCGTGCAGTGAACATTGTTTATTAATTATTGACATTTAAAATGAACAGGTCTGAAGACAAAATGTTGGAAAAATAATAAACTCAGGCCGAAGCGCCATTCGTTAATTATTTTTACCAACATTTTCTCACCCTCGTTATATATTCCACCATAATGCACGCTCATATGTTGATTATTTCTTAAATAAGGGTTGACGCCGAGGTTAGCACTTAACAAGGGTTGATGCCGAGATGAGTACTTAACAAGGGTCAATGCCGAGGTTAGTACTTCATAAGGGATGACGCCGAGGTGATTACTTAACAAGGGTCAATGACGAGGTGAGTACTTAATAAGGGATGACGCCGAGGGGAGAACTTAACAAGGGTTGATGCTGAGGTGAATACTTAACAAGGGTTGTTGCCAAGGTGAGTACTTAACAAGGGATGACGCCGAGATGAGTACTTAATAAGAGATGACGCCGAGATGAGTACTTAACAAGGGTTGTTGCCGAGGTGAGTACTTAACAAGGTTGATGCCGAGGTGATTACTTAACAAGGGTTGTTGCCGAGGTGAGTACTCAACAAGGGATGACGCCGAGATGAGTACTTAATAAGAGATGACGCCGAGATGAGTACTTAACAAGGGTTGATGCCGAGGTGATTACTTAACAAGGGTTAACGCCGAGGTAAGTACTTAATACGGGATTACGCCGAGATGAATTCTTGATAAGGGATGACGCCGAGATGAGTACTTAATAAGGGATGACGCCGAGGTGAGTACTTAACAAGGGTTGATGCTTTAGGTAAATAGCTAATAAGGGATGACCAGTCATTCCCTCTCTGGTTGTTTCATGTTTTTACTCTGTTCCAAAATAGTCGTCGTTTGCCTTTATTGCAAGAGAAGATTTTCGTGATAATAGGAAAAGGGTATAGTAGTGAACAGAGTGGAAAAGTCTATCTTTTAGACAGATTGATCGAAATTCTTTTAATTTATTCAAAATACACATTCCACTTCTGGAGTATTTACTGTTGCCTTGAATATGTAATATAGCTCTATATCACATTGAACAACAGAATGTTCATATTGTTAGTGTGTCGAACTCGTTTTCAATACTTAATTGTTTAAATTTGTTTATAAATTATCGGCATATTCTTGACGACATAATCCTCATTATTCATTTTTTGTTCGAACAAAACGGACTTGATTGTTTCCATTATTTTGCCGATGTATTTAATAGGGTATATATAGGTATTTATAGGTAGTTCCTATATGTAATTCTTTAGGTACATGTATATATAGGTACTTGTATAGGTAATTCTATAGGTATCTATTTGTAATTCTAACATTTTGTTTCCAGAAAAGATGCAGAGACAGGGGCGCATGGCTGCTCTCAGATGACAATGAAGAAAAACACGATTTTCTTACTACCCTCTTAAATGTCTTTTACAGTAAGTTCCATTCGTGACAGTTATCACAAATGAATCTTATCATGTCCGGACTGGTTTCCGATGGAAAACATTAACATATGCAGTGTTTACTATCTGATCAAGCTAACACAGATATCATGTTACAAATTGTTGTTCGCCTATACACATAACTATGACTGTTCATGAAAGACATTTCGTCATGGTGTGTTCTCTCCCACCTTTTGTCGATATCTCGTTACGTATCTTTTTTGCTTTTCATCTTTCCACTTTGGAGGATTTTTGTCTTTTTTTTCGGTGGGTTTAGTCGCTAGGCGAAATTTCGTCGGCAACAAAGCGAAAATAGAAACGTTACATAAGAGCCACCTTATAATAAACATTCAATGCTATTTCTTAACCATTAACATTAAAAGCGTTCTTGACATACTTTCACTTAAAACGATACGACATAGAAACGGATTACGGAGCATATGCGTATCATTAATATGTACTGCTTATATTACTGATCATTACATTATAATGTATTGTATACAGATTGGCACTACGAACGATTTTTCATCGGCGGATCGGATTATTATTTCGAGGGTCAGTTCCGTTGGGTGGAGACTGGTGCTCATGTTGGTCCGTTTTCAAGATGGGCGGCCGGACAGCCTCAGCTGAACAATACACGTAATTGTCTGATGTTGGAATGGGAAGGGAATGAGCTTGTCTGGTCCGACCAGGTGTGCAGACCCCGGGAATACACGTACTACATATGTGAGAAACTGTGAGTATAACCTAACATGGTGTCGCTTTTCTTGTTATGTAATACCCTGTTAACTGAAGTAGAGTGAATATGTCGGTGATTCCATACTGCTTGTTAGCCTTTGTCTGTGAGGGGCCGCAGTGCCTGAGTAGTAAAGGCATCTGACGTTCGCAATCACTAGTCCTCCACCACTGGGTCGTGGGCCGCAGTGCCTGAGTTGTAAAGGCGTCTAAAGTTTGCAATCACTAGCCCTCTACTACACGATAGGGGATTCGAGGCCTACATGTGATTGTCGCAAGTTACTGTCCGGAGGTGGGTGGTTTTGCACCGGATACTCCGGCTTTCCTCTATCACTAACCTGGTGGTTCCATTAATGACTGTAGCTATTGATAGAGGCAACCAAACAAAGAAAAACTCGATAAAATAGGAGGTGAGACCCAATACGAGGGTTAGAGTACATCAAGAGAAGCATCAAGGAAATCGCCATTCAATCTCGTTATCGTCTGATTAATGTTAGGTTAAATATATACAAAGGGCAAACTTTTCATTTAGAGGCTTGCAAAAGTACAAGCGGAAATATAGATATTCCGGAAAGGTGCCCGTCTTCTGCTTCATCGACAACACCTGCCATGTAAATTTAGGTCAAATCCAAGTAATGTCAATGGTGAGCGGTTGTCACTTCACATTAACACCGCTACAATACATCTTCCATCCAATGAGTGCTGACTGATAATTAAGTATTTATAGTATACCTGTCAAATTGTAGGCAAAACATTTATATTAGTTACAGGTTCTTACTTGATAAAAGATCACCCGTTCTTTATAAATTGCCTCTAAGATCAAATAACATCTATTTGTTTCAGCGGTAACGTCACAGTCGCACCTGACAATGGTATAATTGGATAATCTTGGATAATCTCAAGTCTCTGTTGATTGTGCTATGTGAATAAAAGAAATATAGAAAGTACAATGTATAATTGTTTATAATATCGTTTCATCAAACGTTAATTAGAACTCAAATAACAGTGTTCTCAGTGTAAAAATGCAACGAAGCCAGACGCACCAGAATTAAAAGTTCATGCGCGATAAAACTTCACCAATTCTTTGTAAACTGCCTCTAAGATTAACTAGCATCTATTAGTTTCAGTGGTAACGTCACAACTAGAAATGTAATTATTGGATAAGCTTGGAGAACCTAAAAACTCCGATTAATGTGTTTTGTGAGTACAGGAAATATCAAAATATTATTGTTTATCACATTTTAGTTACACGTTAATTACAATTGAAATAACAAAATCACATGTGATCATTTAAGAAAAATGAAGTATCAACTAACATCTATTTGTTTCAGCGGAAACGTCACAGCTGGAAATGGTGTTATTGGATAAACTTGGAAAATCTCAAATAAAACAAATATCAAAAATATTCTTGTTTATCACATTTTGATCAAACGTTTATTAAAACTGGTATATCAGTATTATCGGTGTGAAAATCAACGGAGCCAGACCAATACACTGGACTTAAGATTGCTATGCTATCACTCGAACCAACTGAGTTACCTGGTCCACAGAAGTTGCCTATCAAACTGTGTCACAGTTATATCAAACGGAGGTTAAGGGGAGGAAGCCTTGTATATAATAAGCACAGTACAGTTGGACAGGGTCCTTAATTGATTTTTTATTCAATAATGTTTTAAAGTGAGTTGTAATACATAAATAGATTAATAAAATATATTACCTGTAACTAAGCGAGATCGGGTTATCTCAGTCGAGGGTTAAGATTCTGTAACAGAAATCCCAACCGAGGCGTAAGCCGAGGTTGGGATGTCACAGAATCTTAGCCCGAGATTAAGATAACCCGATCTTGCTTAGTTACAGGTAATTGATTTTTTCTCTCGTACCTTTTAGTTCGAAAAAAACTATTCAAATTTGCTAAAAACTACAAGTATCCTGCCTTTGGGCCTCAAATGATATGACCTCTCCACTATTTAAGCTACATTTGAATGCTTCCGCGTAAAAACGTAGTCCGTCCTTACATAGATTACAACGTATTTCACAGTGTAGATTACATTTTATCTACAACATCAAATATCTAACAACATCAAAACTATACATATAACGACAAAACAGAACGTTTATAATGCAAATTGTCAATTTCAAACAGTTAACGCGCGGATAAATACATTGCACTTTAAAAATTCCGCGAAATGTCACGTAAAGGTACAAGACAGATCGGACGAGATAGAAAAATCTAGCATGGAGTATGATGTGGGATATTTCTGTCTGGGGTGCGAGAAAAAACTGTAGATGGGGTTAGTAATATTTACTTAATGGGCTTCTAAAAATATCATGATGACTTAGAATTAGTAAAAATAGTTAAATTCATAAAATGGAAACTCTTTTTTTTAAATTTTATTTACTTTTTTTAATCACAATATTTATATAATATTTGTATACTGACATTCAAAAGCGATACAAAATTGAGATGTATATAAGTGGTATTTGTGACATTATCTATCCCATGTGCATTAAAAGGATAAGCCTTCTACATACTTTTGTTTTGGTTGATTACACCTTATAAGCAATATGCACTACAGAAGGTGCAACAGTAAGTGTTCAAAACATGGTCTTTATTTGTTTGGTTCATTCGTCAGGCGACAAAAAAGGATCATAATTAAACAAATGTCAACAAAACTGATATTCAAACTCAAACTCGAAAAGAAACTAGGGAAAGTACGGACAAGGAATATATTTACACGGAGAGCATTGAAATCGATATAATAATCAGACGAGATGTTTCATCGACGACACCCGCCATGGTTTAGGTCAAAACTAAGTATTGCCATGCTCTTAAAGCGAGAACCAGTGTAATAAAAACGAAACTTAAAAGCAACATTAATAACATGATAAAACTATCAACCTTCATATCACCCGAAGAATCAGCATTTTCCCAAAGACGTACAAATCTTGTCCTTAATTCTCATAATTTTGTATCGGTTTCGTGCTGTAAGGTTGTTCCGATATCAGCCGAGATCATTCGGGAATGTTTTCTAAGTGTAAGTTGACACTACAACAGGAGCAGAGTCAGAGCCCGATCATGCCAGTGCATTACAATAAGACCAAATCAATTTCTGATTAAAGAAAATGAATAAAAGAAAATGAATACTGTGTAAACCATATATTATACATATATGGAAGAAAGGCATTCATGAAATGCCAGTTAAGGTAAATGTACCGTTGGATTACAAACAGAGTTCTACAATGCAACAATAGGAATACTGAAAGTATGTAAGGTATTCGGGGTTTTATCAAATAGATTAAAGACCTTAACATATAACCCAATACTTAGATGTTTTATGTACGGGATAACCTAAAACATTAAAACAAAGTCGGTAGTTGGACCACATCAATAAATAAATGATGTCGGTACAAGGTTAATAGTACCGAGTGAATACGAGGTTTAACGTTAATGACTATATACAGCGTGAAAACAGAACTAATACAAAATGAAATAATATAAAATATCTGATATAGCGCTAGAGTAAGCGCTTTATATGTAAAATTAGCTGATTAAAAACAACGTATACAGTAACAGTACTGACTTTATGATATAACTATGGTTTTCGTTTCATTTTGTATATAAATGGAAAGGTTAACACGATATCAAGCTATAAGAAATACATAACATAAAATTCATAAGTTATAAAGGGAATATTAACGATGAATGATAATGAAGTGTTTCCAATAGAGTGAATATTTAAAACAGTATGCTAAAAATTAACCTTGCAATAGAAATGATGAAAGATGAACGTCAACCTTCTCCCACAATTACGTTTATACCATTTCAAACATTGAACAGTACGACAAGATTAGATTGTATGTCACAGAAGTTCCCAGAGAACAAAATTATAAAACAGTCATAATCACAATCTGTACGAGATCTCTAAACTACATCACAACAATGACTTCTGGTCTTTAATCCTACTTTTGTTATATCGATTATTGAACATACTTTGAATAACTAAAACGCTTTCGAATTCGATAAAAAATATCTTCAGTTCATCTTATTAAAAGTCACAATTTTACCTTTCCCGCGCATTTAATTATTCATGTCCCTTTATGGAACTGCATGTTTTCATTTTTGTCTTTCTTTCCTTCTCTTAGATGAGGACGATGTTTCCGAATAACTTTTTATTCGCAAATAGGTTGCAACGAAAGTAAACGGTCCGGGGATCGATTCTTGCGAAAGTAGCTGTCTAACTGCGTAAAGAAAAACATCGTTTTGTAGATTTTACAAACATAACATGAAAAATAATATAATTCACTTAAAATGTGGTGGATTATTCGAACCACAAAATAAGGCAAAGACTGGAATGCGTTTAGAAATGTTACAGCGAAATACTAACGTCAATTTGTTCAAAAGTCTCCTGTTTGACCACTTCAAAAATATCTACGCAAAATATTTACAATATACTCCAGTAGTTTAACTTAGAAAAAGATTTGAAAAAAACCATGAAGTGATCGTTGCATTAAATGAGAATGAAAAGCACATAAAGACTTTTGGCAATCTAAAACACTCAAGATACCTCAAAAGACGAGAAAGGTTTACAAACTTATTTATTCATCGAAAGTTAATTTAATCTCGTATTCACTTTTATATTAAACGGCTTATAAGTATTTATATAGAGGATATATCGCTGATATTTTCTAGTACATACATTTTTTTGTTTATAATTTTTTGTCTTAGGCATTACTGGAGTCTCTATTTGAAAGCTCGAGATGATATTAAAAAGGGCTGAGCGTGAGACAGTTTTATTATTTTTTGAAATGGATGTTTTTATTGATATTTTTTTTAACTATGTTGTGTACACAGGTACACTCCTTAATGATGTTAACATGATTTGATCATTATTAAAAAAATAAAAAAAAAGTGGATGCATTTCTACGGATTTTCGTTATCCGGCGTCAATTTAGTGCATCGTTCAAATTTAAGGAAGCATTTTCCTGTGATATTTACTTGTTTTGAAAAGTGGTAATTTCAAATGACAAGCATACAGTGTATATATTTCATACTATGTGCCTCCACTTAAAACCATCAAAAACTTTAGATCAATGGTGTTATGCGAATTCAGACATAATTTTATTTCTTTTTTTAAAAGAAATTATGTCAATACAAACAATTAAGAGACAGAAAGTAGCGAGAAATGATGCGCCTAATCCCCCCAGTGATATAGAACTCACTCGGTTGTCATGCCAACTGACCTTCCCTCTTTTGTACATGTTAGTGTTATTCTTCAGTATTTCTAACTCACGTTTTAACACGTCGACTCTCTTCATTATAATCTGCATATCTGCATTTGGTGGCAATTCCCATGATACCTTGATAGTACAGGAACTTATGTTCATATCTAGGTTTAAATCGGAGGTAGGTAACAACGATTGTGATTGGGTCGGTGAACTGATGTTCTGATTGATCGGTGGACAAGTAGATATGATCGTGCTGGGTTCAGGATCGGAAGTACTCGTTGTTGTGACGTCAGCAGTTGTGACACCAGTACTGGTTGTGGCTGCAGAAGTGGTAGATATGGTGTCAGTAGGGACCAATGAGGGATATGTGCTGGCTGGGGTGTAGCAGACATCTTCATACGAAACACGTGTTGTTGATTCTTTGGATACTGACAATACAAAAATGATAATGAGTATAAATTAATAATAATGAGTACACATATAATAATGAGTATATATGCATACTAATGATTATATAGGTATAATTATGAGTATATATGTATAATTGTGAGTATATATGTATAATGATGAGTATATATGTATGAATTCTTTCTGCAATAATTGACAACCGAACCACCAACAAATATCTAATTAAATAAACACAGGTTTTATCAGTAAAACATTATTATAAGAGTAACCACAGTTTCTAGAGTAATTTGATAAATATTCATCATTTTTTGTGATCGCAACATATATTATTGGTCATTGTCTGTCCGTTGTGTTGTTTGATATCTATTTTTATAGAAAGAGTTATGATATTTGATTAATGTTATTGACGTACTAATAGTACTAAATTATCACATCACTAATACTATGGTACCAATGGTATTGTTGTATAAAAGGTTTCTCTGTGAATTAAGTCTAGCAACATTAAGGTAATCTTTCTGAATAACAAGAATGTTTGATCTGATAAATTAAAATGTAAGCTGTAGAAAAATAAACGGTAATGAATTGAATTTTCACTAAGAAACTTTTATGTTAGTAATAAGCTATTTTATTTCTAATTATAACTGTATAATTAATAAATCATTTTATATTTAATAAATTATTGTATAATTATTAAATCAATTTATATTTAATAAATTAATGTATAGTTAATTATAAAACTTTATATAATTAATCGTTTGAAACATGCTGAACGTATTGTACAAGGTTATGTTATTGCTT